TGTTGTATCTTACTCAAATTTTGCTCATTTTTACTTTATGTTTTTCTGGAATATGAAAGAAACTTTAAAAGTATAATTTTTACAACTTAGATCATGTAATTTGGTTAAGTATTAGTTGAGTTATGATAGATTTTGTATTTGAGTGTACTTAGTGTGACGAAAATCACAAATCGCGCGTGTGACAATATTTATGAAAATGACAGTAAATAGTCATTATCAAGGCAATCTACTAAAATGTTCTAAGGAATGGCTGTATGAAATTAATGGCTGGAGACGTCTTCAGTCAGTTTGCTGAAAGATCCGACTTGAACAATCCTCATACTTATTGTTGTACATAGTCATGTCAACTTGCCCCAAATGATAGGATTTTCGAGCCGGAAAAGTGTATCACTCTTTATTGCCTTCAAAGACAGTAAGTTGCTTCATAAGATCAGACTAATTCAACATACCAATTGATGATAATATTTATAAGTGGATACAAAGTGCTTTAGTACTTTTGTCAATTGTATGCTCAGAAACCAAGATCCAATCACATGTTCAAGGAAGTTAATTGATTTTGTAAGTTCATTTGGTCATTCTAGATCCCCCTTTTTTACGAAAAAAAAAACTAAACTAATAATATATATTATTTAAGTTCAATCATGCTTCTGTATGATTTATTGTTGATTTACATGATCTGTCTTTGACAACAATGACTTTATTGCTTCTTTAGGAAGCAATCTATCATATTCAACATCAGCTAAGGCTGAACAAAAGAGCTTCTGCTGTTCTTGCTCAAGTATGTCCAATTTATCGTTCTATTAAAGATATATACTGAGATGCATGCAAACAAAAGCAAGCAGCTTTTGCCTTGACTCGTTCAAATGACATTGTTGTTGTGTTTGAACCTACAACAGCCTTCAAAGCTGACAACAATAAAGGGAAGCCTGTCCAAGCAATGTTGTTAGAGCTTTATCATAAACTTGTACCACCTTCGGTTTGTGTTCTGCATTGCTTTAAAAACATAAATAACTAAACACTCGTATTATAGGACACAGGAGCCAAGGCAATATCTACATATTTATCTAGCCTCTGTGGTGAAACCAAGATTAGTGATTCATTGAGTCTTGGACCAGGCTCTAGGCCACATGTTTTGCAAATCCGCAACATTGTCAACTGTGTTGCTCTCCTAGGAGAGAAAATGACACTGCCCTCCAAGGATGAAGTGAAAAGTGCAGTAAACCATGACTATGTTCCCTACCAAACATCAGTACAGGCTGGAGACTTTGGCATCCTAGGAGCCCAAGGATTCAAGGAAAATGTGTTTGATTGTCTTGGAAACATAATTGATGATTCCTCTGGCTTTTTCTCAATCTCTACCACTTCAGTTTTCTGGAAATATATGCCAGTCATGAAGAAGGTCTCTCTTATGTGGGAAAATCCATTTACGTGAGTCATTACTGTAATGGATATATTGAATCCTATAATAAAGGATAACAAATATAGATGGGAGATTGATTTCAATAGTGCAAGAAATGACGGATTCGAGACTATAGCCACAGAATGGGGCTGCTGTGTATCACTCAATATTACACCATATGCTGCCTCACAATTCCTCGAATACAGCACCCCGTTTCTGGCTGATTGTCATGAGAATTGGAAGGATACAGTTCTTGGTCAGAAATCACATTTTGCATTATACTGCCTAATTTTGTGCTCATATATTTTGCAGTAACAAAGGTGGATTACTATGAATTGTATGAATTCAACATATGTGGTGCACAAGCAGATGCAACAGGAACAACTGCTATTCAGTCTCTTCCAACAATATATGCAATTCAACGACATGTGGGCAAGGCTACCGAACTTGTTTTCTCCAAAAGCCAAATAGACTTGCATACAAAGCCTACAGTTTTGGATGACTACATTCAATTCAAGAAGAAACGGTAAGTTGCACTCCATTTAGGGTCCTCAATGAGTGTTTTGAACCATCACTAAATATACTGCTTAGAATTGTGAAGGCAATCGATTATGTGCGTATCAACATGGACCAATGCGTAAAGAAAGTTACACGTATGGAGTCTCAACAGGAATCAGCCCTCAGAGGGACACAGTACAGTTCAATCAGCTGTCGAAGACATGTCGGAAGCGACCGTCCGCTATTCATGCAGGAGTACGAAGCACTACCTTTTTCGAGCAGTAGCAAGCACGAAATGACACCTGTATCGAAAGAAATATGATCGTTAACCTATAGTAGATTGGAGGACCAGGATACAGTGTAATAGTTGACTAACATAGAAATGAACGGTGACCCTTTAAGCTCTCTGCAACGCTTGGTAGCCAGGAATAGATCGTTACGGTCTTGCGCCAGCTATAAGGACCTGCATATGAAAGAGTTCGAAAAGCAGGAAAACAGTAATAGTTCAGGTGTTGCCACTACTCTAGACGAGCTTCATAACTATCGACGAGAGCGGAAATCCAGGAGCAGAAAAGGTGGTTAAAAGTTTCTTCGTGGAGCTTAAGGTTTATCTCGCAACCGGATCTCTTCACGATACTCGAGTTTGCCGACAAGGATGGAATGAATGTCTGTAACGACGAGGACGAAGACCAGTCGATTTATCCGTGCTTTCTAGCACTGGAAGTGTGCTGTGAAATGTACGATGCGATCACTTTGAGATCATCGGGTCTTCCGGCGGCAACACAGCCGTTAGCGACTCAATTCTATTCTGCCGTGTTCCATGCCGAGTATACGACGCCCAGAGGGCGGGTTGATCCATCTATCTTTTGGTGAATATCCACCTTTACCTTCGTTCGATGTGTAGCACTGGTAGAGTTCAAGAATACAAACTCTTTGAATACAACCAGCTAAAGTAAACCGTTTACTAGCCCATAACACATCCCTGTAGTAAAATAGTAAGATCAGATACAATACACTTATTGAAAGCATCCAATCTACCTACCTCGGTCAAAATTGGCTGGCAGCCTCAGGGTCATCCACATTCAACCAGTCCGCACCATCATCTAACAACTCCCGCCACACATTCGTCCTTGCATTAATAGGCCAGCCCGGCGTATCCCAAAACCGTGCCCGGATGCCCCTCGAATGCGCATCATTTACCAACGACACAATAGTGGTCCGCTGCTCATCGGTAATATTTTCAATTCCACTCCAACCGACCACTGCACCATAATCACAACTTGCAATCGGCGAGAGTGTGATATCCCAAGTCATGTTAAGAGAAGAGTTAGTGAGCTGGTTAAGCGGCGCGTCGAAGAAATAGTCTCGTGGCTCAAGAGCTTTGATTGGGTCCAGCGGCGAATTCCCCGTCCCGACAACAACCAACGGCTTCAGCGAGATAGAACCATTGCTGACGGTTGTCAAATATCCACGCTCGCGAAGGGGCTCAAGTGCTTGCAGGACCGCAGGTAGTGTTCTGGATTGTAATAATTTAAGCAATCAGATTGCCGAAAGACATGCACAAGGAATCCATACTCAACGCCATCCGTCTTAATGTCAACAAGAAGTTGAAGTGGTATATCGCCAGCCATGTCAAAGACGCCACTGAAATGTATTGCAGTCTTTGCTTACATAAAAGAGTTCATAGAGCTTCTACGTACTTTAAGGAAGTTTGGTTCACGGTGAACTTATTTTGGGGATTTTGCATTTCAATGATACCAACAAGCGGTTGGACATAGAGCGCATCGAAGGTTCGGTCATCTGAAAGAGCGGCTAATTCGTGCCCGACCTTTTCCATGCACGATGAAACGCGTTGGAAGTTGAGATCTTGGTATAGTTGCTCACAAATAACGTCCCATTAATTAGCCAGACGTCTGCCTCTACGGAAGCGGCACCAAAGCTCAATGCCGTCAAAAGAGGTACGTCGCGCCAATCTTCGGAGGCAAGTGTGCTTCCGTCAGACAAATAGAATAGCTAATGAATTAATGAGAGGCGCAGACAGTCGTTATGCGAATGCATTGGCTTGGGCTACAACCGGTTGATAAGCAACGTGCGGCATTAAAGCGCATTAGCCAAAGGGCATATTGTACGCACCACTATGTTCCTTGTGAAGTCCGACGGGTACTGCGGGAAAGAATTCTTAGAGCAGCCAAAGCCAGCGAGAGAAGCTTTAGTCATGTGCAAACCTTCAACAGCGATGAATTGCCAGACTCCAAAAACGCGATTTGGTCATCGATGCGTGGTCTTCCCAGACAAAGAGAGGCAGACAGAAACAAGGTAGCTATGCAGCCGCTAGATGGCTTCATGGTATATGGTTGAGGTCAAGGAAGACAAGGAACAGATTTGCGCATGGCCGTCACTTTATAAAAGCGCATCAGGTCCATCAATAGATCAAAATTGGAATTGCATTTGAGATGCACGTTCGTCATTAACAACGACGTCAGCATTCTGACTGACCAACGTTCAAGAGGATTTCACTTTTGTCACGGGGATGATCGAGCGCATCGTAGAAGCTTTGGATAAGAGGCGACCTCGACCGGAAGCAAAATCTGTACCAGCAACAGTGAAGATCTGCACTATATATATATTATAGGCCGCTAGTCCGTCTATAGGCGCCGATGCATGGGAAACCAACGGCCTGTGCCTGAGGTTATTACATGAAACGAAAACGACGCTTAGCGTACTTACGGGCAAACCGGCGGAAATTGTCACCGAAATATTGAAATTGTTAAACTCTCCTTGGTATAATGGGAGAAGAAGGGGAGGAGCGGCTGGCACTGAAGCGACTCGCGCACAACAAAACACGGCAAGTCGAGGAACCAAACTTGGAAACAATGGTCGTCTGACTGATTGAACTGATTCGATCCTCTCGAAGCCGAGGGTAACAAAAGACTTATAGAGTTTAGGATTACAAAAGTAGGCACAATGCACAGCTCTGGGCAACGTATTGGCGACGTGTTGAACGTTCATCCTCGTCTGAGACTCAGTGAGAGTCTTGCAACGTTGTCAGTGTCACAAAGCTGAGTCAGAAAACAGATTCCTATTTTGATAAGCGGGAAAATACGGTTTCTTTTGAATCCGTTGTTGACTCTTAGTCGCGCATAACCGTTAGCCGAGGTGTTTCAAGCCATTCTCCGGCGCTACGTCGAAATAAAGGGCTCCCAGTGTTTACGGTTGGGTGACCGCAGAACAATAAGAGTTGTCGTGACTAAAGGTGACAATTTGTATGGGAACTTCGCACCTCTCAGTGTGCTACGCGACAATTGCGGTTCTGAAAAAACGTGTGCTCAACTCAACAACACAGTGCACCTAATACGTCGACCTTCCTTCTGTCCACACAATCTTCCCGAGGCTCTTTCCTTCCTGTCAATGTCTCTATAAAGCCCACTCTCTTCTGCTCAGTGCTTCCTGCTTACCCATTCAAGTCTAGTCGGGCCGCGCGCTAGTATCCTGAACCCGGAGTGACACCTCGCTAGCTAAACTATATTCACTTCTCATACTCGTCCCCTCTCACACCTCTCCCGAGACTCGTACCTTCTTCCCGACTGACATTACAATGCCCTCCATTTCTCAGTCGTATGAAGTAATTCTGGACTTTACGAATGATACTCATGACTCCGCAACTGTGCAATTACTCAGAGACTATGGGCGTCCTTCAAACAGAATCGTTTTATTAAACCCGGGAGAGACTATGTCACTTGTACTGGACGCTGGCGATACCTACAAGTACACAGTCAAGACCAGGTCGAAAGTTGTAAACATAACGTCAGTAGGGCATACATCTGTTTTATCAAATGCAAGGGAGGTGCTCACTACTGCCTCCTGAATCGACAGGGCGCGAGCATGGCGAGACGTCGTCTGCGGTCTTTCACAGCTATTTTTACCTGGTTCATCTCCCTGGCCTCCTCAACTCGTAACCACACGCACACGGACGCCGGTAAATGGGATCACTGTCGACCGACATTTCCGAGAAACACGATTCTGCCTTTTCGACTACAGCGATCCCTAGTCTCGTGTAAACAATGTGACAGAGTGGTTAGTACGCCGAAATATAGTGCAAGAAATCAGAGGGCTGACCCCACTATCACCTCACCCCCTCAGTGTTCTATACCTCCTGATACCCGTCATGATACCGCAAGGCCCGGCGAACCAACAATAACGCTTTCGTTTCCCCACGCCATCCTTCCTCGACCTATACAGCCATTTAGTGCCTTAGTTTTCCGTCGTATATATTTCATCTCGTTGGAGAGAGTCTCATAGAGACGATTAGCCTGAGTTGCAGCCGGGAGCGAGCACACATCCGGGAGACACGGACAGGCCAACATCCGTTCCCAATCCACGTCGGTGCACAGGTTCCCCTGGCATCAGGTGATCCCCGTGAAAGCTTTAACAGGAACTGCTGAGAGAAAGAAGAGGACCCGAGCCGAGGCGACTGACCGTTGGGACCTTTCTTCTTGCGACTTCGAGTTCTCGACTAATGGTATTGGTTATCCGCCGTGCTTTATCCGCATGTGAATACTACGAATACAGGTGTTTCTCTTGCCTTTTCGCACCTCGGATGCCCTGGAGAACTGAGAAAGTGGATGGAATGCTGCCAGACAGTGGGAGAGCTGAGCAAGTCAAAGAAAGGGCAACCAACCGCATGTTCTGTGCGTGCCTTCGAAGTTAAGGACACGGGCAGCTCCGTCATCAGGAACAACTCCTGTCTGCGGCCGACTAATCTGCTAACTTACACGAGTTTCTCGCCCCCCGTCATTACCCTATTGCCACGCGTCAACCGCATTGCAAAGGTGATTTAACAATAAACTCTTGCTTGCAAATGCAATCTAAGTTTCGATCTTCGTAATCTAATTCCGTTCCGTATGGTTGTCATATTGGAACTTCTCCTTCCAGCTTTTCGTTAAGAATTCGTCCTTTACATACTTTTTTCCGACACTGGTAGAAAATCCAACATTTTCATCAGTTTATCCCAATATGGAAAACCAGACCAAATTGGAACAGTCCCACCATCTGCCGTCACTTGTATCAAACTCGGACAATATTTTTGGTTTTCTTCAATAATTTCAGTATCAAACATCTTGGAGTTCTGTATTATATAAAACCTCCGTACAGTACAATGTTTTACATACATCAATGTGCTCTCGAACCCATGCCAATATATTCGAAATTAGTGCAATCCTAAAAATCTCACGTCGTCCAATCTTTAACACGGCTAGTCGTCGGACATCCAGGTGACGGAGGTGACGAGAAGCGGGTTTCCACAAAGACTTTCAGAACACCCGACTGGCGCTGATCAAATGCCTTGTAAAGCTCGGGCATATCATCGAGAGGTACGCGGTGCGTGAGTATGCTGCATTAATATGCGTTAATGAGGATCAGAGGCACTAAGAAAGGCTATCTTTTGAACGTACAATGTCGGGTCAAACTTTCCTGGAATGATGTACTCATTGAGGATGGTCTCCCAATGTAAATGGACAGGAGCTTGTCCATTGCCGATGAAGCGAACTCCTTTTTCCATTAGTGCTCCGATATTGAAATTATTGGTGTAGCCCGCACTGTAGGACAATGGGATTGGTTAGGACAAGCTTCTCGAAGAACAAACTCAACATACTAGGCAGCAATTATTCCACAGCGACCCATCTTCCTAACAGACATAATCATCTCATTGACAATTCTGTTACAATAGATAAGTGGCGTTACGACATTTAAGTGTGTAATCTGCCCTACTCTGGTACGTCAGTTTCCATCATGAGAGTCTTCTGAACCTTGTGTGCGATCGTCTTCGGCTCATGGAAGGTACCTGTTCATGAAATAAAGAATCATGAAAAGAAGTTCTGCGACAATAAATAGGATAATGGCCTACCACAATCAATGGCAACGTCCAGGCCGCCGGGGACAAGTTCTTGGATACGTTTGACGACGTCCGTGTGCTCTTGGAAGTTGATAGGCTCAACACCTGACTTCTCCGCAGCAAAAACCAAACGTTCGGGAACGCGGTCAATGCCAATTACGCGTTTTGCGCCTTTCAACTTGGCCCAACGGGCAACATATTGGCCAATAGGACCCAAACCCTGAGATATTACACCAATGAGCTTTTCTAATGAACGGACGGAGCTGAAAGAAGTCCCACCCAAACACCGACGATGTCTCCTTCCTTTACGCCTGTGTCGACAACCGCGTGATAACTAACAATGTGCGGTCACCACTCAGCTCGTGGAATAAGGGTTTAGATTAAGAACTTACGATGTGGGAAGTATATCTGACAAATAAAGCGCCTGCTCATCCGTGACTCCGCCTGGGACTGGAAGCAGGTTCACTTCGCCAAATGGCACACGAACGTACTCAGCTAAGGACTAGTGTCAGTCCGATTTTAAATTATAAATGCCTAGTGTATTACCTTGGCCACCCGCGAATCCTCCTGTCAAATGTGAATAGCCAAAGAATCCGGCATCGCGATGACCATACATGGCATTTTGAAGGCTAGAATTATTCGTACGATCGCAGAAGGACGACAATTTCTTCTGGCAATATTCACACTTTCCGCAGGCAATTTGAAACGAGGCCACTACCCGGTCTCCTGGCTTGAGGTTTTTGACGTTTGGGCCAACTTTGTCAACCTTTCCCATGAACTAAAGTGGAACAAATATTAATGGAAAAGAATTGACAGGGAACGACACGATGCCAAACCTCATGGCCAAGGATATCCCCTTTCTGCAGAGTTAATATCTCTCCGTGATACAAATGCAGATCGCTTCCGCAGATTGTCGTTCCCGTGACAGCAATAATAACATCATCAGGATCGGTCTGAGAGGAGATTGTGCATAAATTTTGAAAGAAACAACCCGTGTAGATGCTCAAGCCTACCACATCTGGGACTGGGGCATCAATTATTTTAACATCTTCGACACCCATCCATGCGAGGGCTTTCATGATCATCTGAGACCCATTTTCGTCCACACGACCTCTATACTGAGGCGTGACATCGACCAGGACTGGGCCCATGTGCTATCCGGGAGAAGTTATCGAACGTTATGAATATCCTTCGAATGACCGGGTTATACATACATTCTGAATTGTATTTGCTGCTGCTTGCATTGCTGTTAATGGTATGATGAGCGTAGTATAAGATATGAAACTGCATGATTAAGCACGTTTTATATCGGACAGGGAATGTCCTTCCTTGGAGTGCGCATGGCTATTAGTATTAAGCTAGCTCATAGCGGACGTCATACATTGCATTATCAAGGAGCTTTTCAAGACCATCCGACGCCGATCACGTGATGATACATCAGTTTCGGCTAGAGCCGACAAGCCTCTCCCTCATATTCATCATGGACATTAGAACAGAGTTTGTTACAGTAGTCTGAGCTTACGACAAAAGTCACAAAGGTACGTGTCCGCATAACAACCTAAGCACTTGTTCGTTCTCTGTCCCTTAATTTTGCCCGCTGGCGTTCATACCATCCTGCTCCTGGGAGCCCAAGTCCAGGGTTACGTCTCCTGTTCAGAGCACCATACGTTGAAGACGTCGCGCTTTTATCTGAAGCTGGTAACCGGTCTCCAGCACGAAGTTGTCTCCGAGTACCCTCGTCAAAAGCCGCGGCCATCTTAGCACGGTCCGCCTCCTCTGACGCTGTTATCGCCTCGACTTCCAGGCGTACCTTCGGATGTGCCAGCGGCTCAGCAATCAAACGTTGCTATTTAAGAAGGCAATGTCAATGCAACGAGGTCAAGATAAAGATGGCATTTAAAGTACGAACAATGTGCTCCTCGGCTTTTGCACTTAGCTCTCTCATTCCTGTACTTGGCCGGTATCGAAGCACTTTCCTCAAGTTTTCCTGTGTGACTCGCCGTAATCGACCACCAATCCCCTCGTGCAGAAAACCGGGTTTCACAGCAGCTTTTTCGTGTTTGATGACTTTTTCGACACCTTCGATACCATTGGTGACAACATGCTCCGAGCCCCGAGAAAGTGAGTTTCCAAGGAGCTCCCAGCCTATTGCTCGGGCGGTCATTTCAAATCGCAGGTCCCGCGGGTTGTCGACGAGCTCCAGAATCGCATGAGGAGCATTGTCGCCTTTTCGGTTGCCGAATTTGTGGATACGTGTGTATCCTCCTGGGCGATTTGCATACCTGTGTGCCAGAGCACCAAACACCTTGGGAATTAAGGTGTGTTCAAGCAAGAAACCTTGAGCTTTTCGAGCCGCTGGTAGATCGCCTTTCTTGCCAAGTGTAATAAGCTACAATAAAACACATCTTAAGTTGCCGTTATGCCGCGAGAAGTAATTACATTGGCAGCACACTTTTTCTGCGAGTCTTGCAGCCTCCTTAGCCTTTGGAAGAGTCGTCTTGATTTGTTCATGCTCTATGAGGGATGTGACCATGTTCCTGCTTAGAATTAGATCGCTATTAAAAGAAGAAAAGCGTGGTGTCACGACCGTACCGTAGCATGAGCATTCTATGAGACGAAGTCCGCGAAAGTTTCCGAAATGCTACGCCATGCTTCATTATGGGGAGAGCGGCTGTAAAGGGTTATAATGAACCCTACTGGACCCAGTGATTTAGTGGGTGCCCGCGAAGAGGGTTGATGAATATGAACCGTGAAGACGGCGAACGGACAAGTAGAGTGGCAGCAAGTGAACACTCGCAAACCGGTAGTGGAAGGCGCGCCGGCCCTGAAACTGAAAACGAGCCGGAAACAGCCGACCAACTTGACCTTAACACAAACTCTGACGCGCTACGCAAAACTGCAAAAACGTCGTCGGAAAATAATGACTTTCCTCCGTGCTGCCTTTCGTTCTATACCGCGTGCTCGTCCAGTGAGCGCTATCCCACGGGCTGCGCTTTTCACGCGACAAAATCTTGCTCTGCAACGTGCTGCATACTCGGCGGCAGCAGCTCTCTCCAGGTCAGATATCCAGGCGCGAATCTTCGACGTGGTCAAGTCCTTCGAGAAGGTTGATCCATCCAAGGTCAGCCGCGGTGTTATTGCTTTTCATTCGTGCAGCTGCTCAGCCTCTCATCAATGTTTTTCCATAGGTTACCGATTCCGCATCGTTTGCAGGCGACCTTGGATTGGACAGCTTAGACGCGGTGGAGGTCGTCATGGCTGTCGAGGAGGTATGACTCAGCATTTTGCGAAGCATGGACAAACTATTCATTGCGCTGATCATGAAGGAATTTGGTATTGAGATTCCGGACGCAGAGGCTGATGAAATCCAAACTGTTCAACAAGGTCTGTACGCGTAAACGTTCCCTTGGCAGCTTCTTGTACTCATGTTGTGGTGCTGTTCGCTTCCAGCAATTGATTACATCGCCAAAACTCCGGACGGTGAGTCTTCGGTCATGTCTTCTACCAATCGCTCTTTGGCTTACTTTGGCATGTTCCAGCGAAATAATTTACCGTGTTACCCATCGCATGTAGCTCTCTCATGCAATAATGACACCCCTGCATTGGCCAGTTCCAAATATGTGTGCTGTCTTCTACCGAACTCTGACTGTTGCGATAAATGAACCGCTTGCGATCGCCGAAATGGAATCAAAACCTTACTGGGAAGACTCGCGCAAATGATTTGTTTCCTGCTCTTCCAAAACACTGATCCGGTGCCACAGCTGGACACGTGACAAACAGGCAATTATTGGGTATCTAGATCTAAAAGAAAAAGCTTATAAGGCAGAGCTGTGCAGTCGACATATCATCTCACCCACTGACCCCGCAATGTCTCCTGATCATTCCCTCACTGTCGACAAGCCATTGATAAACTGCAATTGCACCCTGGGCGAAGGTAGTATTCTTGCATCCACAAGACTCGTCCCCCCTCCCCCTATTGACTCTGTTTAACGAAATCAAGTCTCTTCTTTCTTTTATTCTTCCGCTAAACGGCACCATTTCTTCGCAGGCCCGCTGTATGACGATTCTACTGCTACACTACATTTCGTCGATATAGTCGAGAAGCGGGTAAAAGCAATAGCCCACCTTCTGGAAGCTCTTTTGCTTGCTCATTCATTGGTACTATAAAGGTCCTGCACTTTAACACAATTACCAAGGAGCTCCAAGTCGACCAGTATAACGAGGCCGTGTCGTGCCTTGCTCTTCGCCATGATGGTCAGGGCGTACGTCTGTCCTTCTTTGTCCCCGAAATGATTCTCATGACTCGGCAGCTAGCGTGCGCTGCCGCACAAGGTTTTGCCCTGATCGATCCTCAAACCCGCGAACTCACCTACGTCAGCAAACCTCTTCCACCAGATCAGGTAAATTTTGTTAGGTTCAACGACGGCGCATGCGACAGGTCCGGACGTTTCTTCGCCGGGACTGTGTGCTCGAAGGACCCGCAGATACCTGGGCAATTGTATCGGTACGACCCGAGTAGTGGTACGGCAACTCTCGTCGATGCGGGTCCGTTTACCGTAAGTAAACACCGTCGGCTACTCTTAGGCCCCATATATCAAGATAATTACTCTTCAGGACTGTAATGGTTTGGGTTGGAGTGCCGATGAGAAGACGATGTATACAGCTTATCTGGGTTTGAAGCAAGCTTTGAACTAACTGTTTTTGTACAGGTACCTGACGGATTCCTTGGTGAATCGAATTTATGCGTATGATTACAATGATGGCGTCCTTTCGAACAAACGCCTTTTCGTTGATACCTTAGCACTTGGACTCCCGAAAGGGACTTATCCTGACGGTCTATGCATTGATAGCGAAGGTTGTGTCTGGAGTGCTCGGTAAAGAATTATTTTCCTGCCCCTTTCGCACTGGACTAACCTTAAAAATTATAAGCTGGGGAGGCTCAAAAGTAGTGCGGCACTCAGCAGATGGGTCTTCTATACTATTTGAAATTCACTTCCCTACTGCGCTCAATATCACCGCCTGCTCCTTTGGAGGTATTTCCAATTAATTTTAAAGGAAACGAGAGAAGTATTCTTACAGACTTCCCGCTACCCCCGTTGTTCCGTAGGGGTCCAGAACGATCAACTTTTCGTAACCACAGCGCACTGCGGAGCGATAGGCGGAGACGCGTCGAGACAACAGCAATTTCCCGACTCCGGTAATGTCTTTCAGGTTGATTTATCCGGTCGATTTAAGGGAGGGCAATGGCGGTACAAATTTGCGCAGTGAGACTGCGTGCTGCTTTCGTTTCTCCTGTATATCGCCGATGGATTCTCTCTTCTGAGGTTGCCTAGATTCGTCTGAAAGGAACATGATCAAATTACTACTGCCAAAGTGTCTCGGAAGCATTTTTTAGACGTGGATCCCGCTGCGAAACTTGCTCAAATAGTGTATTCGCCGCACGTTTTATTGTCTACAAGCTCCGTGCCTATGACCCACCTGAACTCCATCAGAGTCATGGTCCAGGATGCGATTGCTTTAATACATCTTTGGGCGTTGTCTCGAATAACTTGCAACGTCAACCCGCGAAAGGGAGTTAGGAGGATCGTCGCTAGTGCCGATTGGCAAGTTTGAGTTGCTAAACAAGCGACATTCGAAGTGACTTACAGTGCATGCTAGTGCCAGAGTCGAAGAAGCTTAAGCCTGATTTTCTTTCGTTCCTCTGATATAGGAAGAGCGGAATTCGGAGAAGAGTGGACTCACTAAGCCCCAAAATCGTCGCCCGCGGCGGAGCTAGAGGGGGGTGCTTCTTCTGAGGTTCATTCGGTGTGTTCTCAATTCTAGTAGTGAGAAATGCAGTCATATCAGTTTACGAGTCATAATCCCCCTCGTCTTCTCCAGATGGATTGGTCTGCTCAGATCTTGCGGCAAGATACGCGACAGAGATCAGCGACTATTGTCTTGTGTATACTTTCACGGCCTTTATTGGCCCGAAGGTCGGAGGAGGGCCCGGCGGAACATTCGCACTCGTTATGATTCTACTCCAACTCAAACCATATCCCCTGGTCACCAGGCATCAGTAGGAATGCACGAAAATGAGTCGTGCCCATTCGCCAGGGCGTGTCTAGCTAAAAAAACCATGCACACAGACTTGGCGAAAGTTAGTTATTTAAACGTGCAACCCTGTCCCTGAAATGGGTCGTAGAGCATTTTTCAACGCGTCCCCAAGTTAGGCCAGTGACGTTGGGCCTTCAGGCCCTTCACGCATCACTCATCGATAACGGAAATGCGCTACCCACGCGCGAGAATATGGGCGCCAGTGTTCAACCTTCCCTCGAAGGACTTCGCTCCTGGGTTTTGCCGCGGAAGTTTTTGGTTGTATGGGTTATCCAAGGGACTCTTGACCATCACCCCATACCTGAAATAGATCCGGCCCCCCACTATGTTGGTATTCGGAAATGCTACTGACTTTACGCGATCTAGCTTTTGACAAGCATGCCCAGTGAGCAGGGGGGGTTTCTCCATTTGAGGCCGAAAGCCCACAGTCCATCATAGCTTACTCATGTATTGACCGACCAACTCAATGGCAAGCTTGCCAGCTCACGGGTTGGACAATGCAGACTAATACACTAGTACGACACCTGGATCCTTTAGTTTAGCCCCACATCCCGATCCAAGTGCCATAGAAAAAAAATGCAGTGATAGCGTTGTGGAGAGCTCGAGGTGATGCCGTCCCGAGAAGCACAGGGACAACGACTGCGCATTGTTTTTCATTTAATCTGACTCGCATCGATTAAAATGCTAGGACGTCAGATCCTTCTGCCGTGAATCTACGGGACGCGAGGGACACGTCAAAGACATAAAATGTTGTGTTGCAACAGGGCCAAACAAGGCCAAACAACATATCTAAAACCAATTCATTATATACCTGCTATTTTTGTCTCGCTAACTAACCACGCGCGCCCACCAAACATCTTTCTGACTAAATTTTTAAATAAGAAGCTGTTAATTTCCCTGTCGGATCTACTTTCCACACATGTCGCTTTTCAGGTTGCAGTGATTTTCGCCATGTACTTGGCTCCAGGCGATGAAGCAATCCGTAGAAGTCGGAATTCCAGTCCTCCATCTAATTGATTCGGAGCTATCGTGTATCGTCCCTTTGGTTCTTTAACGAACGCCGAATTACCGCAGAAACCTGAAAGTGGTTTCATAAGAGAAGCCTTATGATACCATGGTGCTGGTCACAAACATGTTCCTATTCGCTTGTATCTTTATTCATTCTACCTACTGTTATAATTCCAGTGACGGCAGGAATGCGAACTTCTGCGGGGAGAAATATTACTATTAGTGGCCTGTGATTACGTCTAGTACATAGTGTGTGAAATACAAAAGGAAGCAAACGATACAGTGGCGAGGGATTATAGCATATTACGATACAGAAGTGGGGGGGGAGGGGGAGATTCTTACATGCGTTCCTGTCTAATTCTTCTCCATTATTTCGTAGGTAGACATTGCGGTTGCAGTTTGAAAGCCATAAATAGCTTGGGACTTTTCAGGCCAACAGGCGGTTCACCGCCTTCTGTAGTTTTTCGAGGGGTCTAGTGATTAATTTCGAACGTGCAATCGCACGCTTGCCGTTCCGAACAGATTTATCAAAGTTTCCAACCATCTCGTAAGTCCCAATTGACGACATCGTCGTATCGGCTTCAGAGATATCAGGGGAACCAGAAGCGAAGCGCATTGCTTCGTAAGAACTATTTATGCTAAATGCGCGTTTGTGGTCCCGGTTTGAGGCAGGCAGCGAGTACGGATTTGTTCCTCCGCGTTTGGAACCAGCTGAGGAAGTATGAAGGGCCGATAATGATTTGGAGCGTTTCCGGGAAATTACGCAAAATTGATCGACTTTTGCCTCACGGCCTTGGATAACGTTCTCACTTGACAAAGATGGGACGGATCTTGCCGCTAATGGTAGAGAATAAGGTCGAAGAAGGACGACCTGATGACCTTCCTCAGAGGAGTCGTTATCGCTGAGTGACGCTTCCTCCGACGAGTTAGGGGGGAAGTCGCCGTCAAGAGCATCGTTTGGACTAGGAGAATAGAAACGCCAATTCCCAAAGTACGAGTAGACGCTGTCGCGTGATCCAGATGTATCAGCCTCAAGTCGGAAAGATGAGAAAACATCAGGCGCGAATGTCGGCGTCGAAACTTTCTGGTGAAATGAGAGCACATGGTCCAAATGAGGGGTCACATTCATCTTCGCGGCAAAGTCAGCGCCACTACGATATGGAGTGAAAGATGTAGGTGAACTCGTGCCGATGTCCTTGGAGCTTTCACTCGTAAATAACGAGAAACCTTGGCCTGCTGAGGGCGATACGTTTGTTCTCGTACCCTCGCCAGGGCGGTCTCGTGACGGAGTTGAGAAGGCAGATGAAGCATTAATGTCATTGGAGCTTGCGCTGACCAGCAAAGAGGAATTCTTGCCGAACGAAACGAAATCAACTTTACGTTCAAAGTTGCTGATACGGTACAATAGTAGTACGTACTCTGGCCCCAGATCGCGTACGCCGAATGGAACGCGAGGACTCCGGGGAAATACACGATGCTCCTTCTCCTGCCGTAAAGAAGGGATCGTAAGCAGGCTTGGAGCTTTCCCGGGCTATGCCATTGCCGGATTGTGCTTTACGCTCAGGCGTGGCTGGAGTGACTTGGGTGGCACGAGGTCTATGCACCACGTTTGAGGCTATCCTCCCCTCAACCATTGGAGCCTGAAGTCTAGTGAATGAATAGGAGTCTAAAAGATATGAGGCAGAAAGGATAAGCCCTTTCTGTGAAAATGGTGTGTACGCTGTGGAATGCCCCAAGATGTAGGGACTAAGGAAAACCTGACGCAGCTCAACGTTTACGGGCTGAATTGGGTGTTAGGAATTGATGTCGATCCACAGAAGCCTAACCAAATTGGGACTGAAGTCATAAAGCTTGGCAAATTAAAAATAGCATAAAGAAAACTGGTATTTGCTGGATTCTATAAGCCAATCCAAAGTCCGAGTCTCTAACTGAAGCTTAGATATCGATACTGTAACTCTATACCGACCGGTCTATAGAAGCTCTGTAGGCATTGAGATGGGACACATTGGCTTGGTCTCCACAAACATGCCTTTCGTGCATGGCAAAGTCGCTGAAGCTGGAAACCCTTAGAGCTCTCCCTTGACTGCCTTTGAAACAGACTCTGCAAAGTATTCGATGTTCTTTGCATTCAACCCAGCCTACGACGAAAAGGGGGTGAGTTTTATCAGAAGAATAGGGAAGGATGAGGGAAGATATGATACCATTGAGATGCGACCGTCTGCTGTCATGTAAATGTGAGCCTTTTCGGCCAATGCTCTGGTTTGAGGCTGAGTCAACCCAGTGAAGCTAAAGAAAGGGATTTATACTTATTAGCTTACTACTAGAAAAGACTAAGAAGACCGCACCTGAACATTCCGATTTGCGACTTGATGTGGCCCCACTCTCCCGGAGTGTTTAGGCCGACGAGAATGTCATAGAGTTTTGAACGCATGCTGGTTTAGAGTCGGATTAGGGCTGAGGAGAGCATGCAGTTTAGGCCGAAAATCTCACCTGATTATTCGGTCTGCCATCCCTTTTACTTCACCTTCCCATTGCGAATAGAGCTCTGGTGAGCTCAAGATAGTATTCGCAATACGCGCACCGTGAACAGGCGGGTTAGAGTACATAGGGCGGATGACTATGAAAATATAAGATCAATATTCTCTCATTTATGAGAAGATGGTCAGGGCGTACCTATCTTCAATTGACTATCTACACGTGCCTTCTCTTCGGGAGAAGCAGTCGTCAAAGAGAACGCCCCAACACGCTCGCCGTATAGACCCATGTTCTACAAAAATGGCAGAATTTTGAATTTGGTAAGTCAACATAAGTGACGTAACACGTGTTAATATACCTTCGCAAAGGACTGGGCGAGTGCGATCTGATGACCTTCCTCTACAAAGTGTCTAACTGCAAAGGCGTCACGCGATGTAGAACCCGAAGCAAAACCTTGATAGGCCATGTCAAAGAAAGGGAAAAGTTTCTTCTCCTTAACGATGTTTGAGATCTCTTTCCACTGCTCTTGGGTCGGGTCAATACCTGTTGGGTTGTGTGCACACGCATGAAGGAGAACAATGCTTTGTTCAGGCGCGTTCTAATAATACCGTAAGGAATGGAGGTGAACGAGTATCAAAGTACGAGCACATACCAACAAGTCCTCCTTCAGTCCGGCAAAGTCAAGACCAACGGTCTTCTTGTCGAAGTAGCGGTAGCCTCTAACTTCAAGTCCGGAGTCACGGAAGACTGGTGTGTGGTTTCCCCACGAGGGCACTGGCAGGTAGATGACCTTGGCGTTTGGGTAAAATCGGGCGAGGAAAGCACCACCAATGCGAAGTGCACCAGTTCCCGAGATTGATTGTGTGACAGCAATCTGTACATAAATGTATTAACAATATCACGCCACGCCTTCTTTACAACAAAACGTACAGAGTTTTCAACCAAGGGTTTGCTTTCTGCGCTGTACGCGAGCTTAGCCGCATTTTTTGTGAACTCAGGAAGACCCGTGATGGGAAGGTACTCCTTGTCGAGCTCGGTTGATGACAAGACATGTTCAGCCTGTAACAAATACCAATGTTAAACCAGGCACCGGAAAGGAAAAGATATGGCTCACCTTCTTTACACTAGGAAGAACATAGGGCTTGCCGTCACCATCACGGTACGCGCCCACGCCCAAATTGATTTTGCGGGGATCTTTGTCTGCTTTGAACGCTTCAGTGACACCTGTTTTCAGAGCCATGTGGCGTCAATACGCCTTCACAAACACGAAATATTCTTGAGAGCACAGACCGAGAATTGGGTCGGGCGGACCAGCTGGGACTGCAGACCAGGTTGACAATGCGCGAAGAGCCGCTCGCGCACGCGGGATCCTTACAACAGTAGACAACATGGATAGCTTTTGGAGGAAGGAGGAGGAAGGAAAGAAGGATGAGATTTTGCTGAAAACCGAAAGACCGCAATGCGGCAATAGAGGTGGATGCGGGGAAATCCGGACTGGCGTGGGTGGAATCCGGAATCATGATGATCCTATGTGTGTGCTTTGATGTACAAAAAATCTTTCTCCCTACTGTCTTCACTGCCCATCGAGCAAATAGTGACTTTCTAACAAGCTACGACGACCACAATAATTATATTGCGGAGGGAATAGACGGCTTCACAGGAAGCACCCAAAATATCCACGAAGTGAATGAATTCTCCGTGGTCATATTTCACACGATCAACACCAATTGACTCGTCCTGCGTCATTTCTGACAGCTTCGTCATTTTGATCCTTTCGCTACACCCCCACCAACTCTCATGAAAAAAGCTGTCGAAACTGTCAAAAATATCGTTAAGAATCCAGAGGCTATGACTGAGCCACCTGCATCTGAGGACAACCAAGGTGTCAACCCGTAGGTACTTTCCAACGTTATAAGTTCATATCGATCTTGACTGATCATTCAAAGAGCAAGTCAAAGTCAGGAAGCACCTCCAGCAGATGTGAGTGAATGATACAATATCTTATTCTTGACCAGGATACAAGCAAAAATCGAGCAGGTGCAGGGTACAACAAGTGGCGAGGGACAGGCCGAAGGGGAGAGTAAGGGACCCTCAAAGAACGAACTAAAGAAAAGGCAAAAAGAGGAAGAGAAAGCTCGGAAAGCTGCAGAGCGTCGTGCAAAAGAAGAGGAGGCCGCCAGGGCAAAGGCAGCAGAAGAGGAAGCCAATGTAAGCATGAGCATGGCGCATATATCCCACTATCCTTATATATGTACTTAATAACTTGACATAGGACTTTGCCAAACAATACTATGGAAAGCTCCCGTTGAACCGATCTCAAGAACGAGCGAATCGTCACAGAGATACCATTGCTTCTCTACCGGGGAAACTTGGACAGAATGTTCTCCTTCGAGCTCGGGTGCAGACGTCTCGTGCAACGGGCAACAAGATGGTATTCCTTATGTTGCGGCAGCGCATTGATACTGTACAGGGACTTCTCATGGCGGAAGAAGGGAAAGTTTCGCGTCCAATGATCAAATGGGTTGCTAGCCTTGCTGATGAGAGTATTGTCCTTGTCGAGGGAGTCGTCGATAATCCGAAGGAAGAGGTAAAGAGCGCCACGGTGAAGGATGTGGAAATCAAGATCAGCCAGGTGTGATTTCTCGTGTAGGCCATAAATTAATATTTTTGCTTACATTTACGATGCAGATTCACCTCATCTCTGCGCCTGAATCACGGCTGGCTTTCACTCTTGAGGATGCGTCGCGTGCTGAGAGCGATCTCCAGGATTCTGACAAACAGTTCAAAAACGTACTTCTCGATACGCGTTTGAATAATCGCGTTCTCGATCTCAGGGTAGGGAAGAGCAGTTTCTTTTCATTGCCAAAGGCTCTGATTATTGCGTAACAAATTGAAGACCACAACAAACCAAGCTATTTTCAAACTGCAGGCCTCTGTGCAAAACTTCTTCCGGGAGTTCCTCGACTCAAACGGCTTCACAGAGATCCATACACCGAAATTACAGGGTGCTGCGACAGAGTCTGGTGCTTCTGTCTTCAAAGTTAGCTACTTCAAGGGTATGTCTTATTACTGAGCTTGCTCACAAAAGCAATTCCGACACTGTGCCAGGAAGTGCCTTTTTGGCTCAGTCCCCTCAGCTTGCAAAGCAGATGGCTATCGCCGCTGACTTTGAGCGTGTGTATGAAATTGGCCCTGTCTTTCGAGCGGAGGATTCCAACACTCACAGGCATCTTACCGAGTTCATTGGTCTGGATTTGGAGATGTCAATCGAGGAGCACTATCATGAGGCTATGGAGCTTCTAGACCGGCTATTCCTTTCAATCTTCAGAAATTTAAAGGAGAAATGTTCGAAAGAAATTGAGACCGTTGGCCGCCAATTCCCGGCCGAGGAGTTCAAGTGGAGAGAAGGTCCTGAAGGCACCCTCAAATTGACCTTTGCACAGGCCGTCGATTTGCTGGTGGAGGACGGCGTTGATCGATCTGCCCTTGACGACATTAAGTAAGTGCAGACCGATGCAGTGTCCGAATTTTTACTGATGCATGTGCTTCAGTACGGAAAACGAAAAGCGTTTGGGAAGACTCGTGAAGAAAAAATATGATACCGATTATTTCATCGTCGACAAGTTCCCCATGGAGCTCCGGCCATTCTACACCATGCCCGATCCAAACGATCCAGTGAGTCCGGAATGCCCCGATTGTCTCTTCTTCAGCTCATCGATTGCGACAGAAACTATCGAACTCGTATGACTTCTTCATGCGAGGCGAAGAAGTCCTCTCGGGAGCACAGCGTGTGCACGATCCCCAGCTACTGGCAGAACAAATGAAGAGTAAAGGTGTGGACCCTGAAATGATGAAGGGATACATGGATGGCTTCCGACTTGGATGCCCACCGCATGGTGGGGGTGGTATTGGTCTGGAACGTGTGCTGATGCTGTATCTGAAGCTCAACAACATCCGGAGGGCAACTATGTTCCCAAGAGACCCGAAGCGTCTCGAACCTTGATTGAAGTCGTAAAGGCTAGAACAGATAGATCGATGTAGAGTTACTTGGTCTAAAGTCCCAAATTGTATCAGTGTTTCTATTTCCACCGAGTTGTTGCACGGCAGCAAATCAACAACATATCATTTCGACAGAGGTCGTCTTGCTCTTCTTCTATTAGAGTTGAAGAGCCTGGACCGTAATTCAAACAAAATACATTTCAATTCATGTTTTAACGAGGCCCGACAGAACTGAAGTCTGAGAACCGCGGCCGCGGAGAAATTGTCAGGTTTAGAAGTAAGCAACATTTATAAATGCGTCAAATACATTACCAAATTTGGCATGTCAGATCCTGCAATTCTTCATTGAATGGGCTCTTCTCTTCAGACTTCGAGCCTGAAAATTTCTGAATTGCCAGCACATCTCCGAATCGCGGTTCTTGACTTTGATGTCGAGTGTCTGCACATGCTGCTGTCCCTGGCCACGAGTAAGGTTGGTGGTGTATGGGGCGTCGTTTGCTTGGGGCCGAGCATTTTGTCCTTTCTCACTGAATCTCAGACTCAGCAATCATCCGCACAAGCATGCCACTCTCTGATTATACCCCGGGGTCCACTTCTCAGATCGTTTTGAAAACAAGCAAGTAAGCAGAGGAGTCCGATTTCCGTAGCTTCACGCAGCGACGCATCCTCGACTAGCAGCTTCACTCTCGGCTTTGTTTCGGTAAACAAACACATCAGTGAGATTATAAACCTCGGAATCTCTCATTTCCCTCATTTCGACTGTGTAGGACGGTGATAGCTCATGATCTGGCGGTACCGGAGACAACCTAACCGGACATTGCGGACATCTCCTGACTGCTCATCCATGCTTATTTTGTTGTCGAGACGCTCACGATGGCGGGCCGCCCTTGAACATCCGAAGCCCGTCGTTTAAACCTCGGGTGCCCGCAAGAAATCGAGCAATTGGGTCGTTTTACATCTCAATGTTCTACATATATAATGCCTAGCCAGCTGTTAAGGTCTTTAGAGTCTCTGTCTGGCGACTGAGCTTCTGCAGCGGATGATGCTTCTCCATCCTCTAACGTTAGTCGTGTCATTGGCGACGTTGCCTCTGCTATCGTCTGCTGCTATCGCTCAGCAGGCATACAACTGGGCAAATGTCAAAATCGGTGGAGGTGGAGGCTTCGTGCCGGGCATCATTTTCAACCCATCCGAAAAGGGTCTCGCGTATGTACGGACGGACATAGGCGGTGCCTACAGGTTGAACTCTGATGATACGTGGACTCCTCTTTTGGACTTCGTAGACAATGAACGGTGGGGATACTGGGGTGTCGACGCGCTTGCGACAGATCCTACTGACACAGACCGTGTCTATCTTGTGAGTAGGGCTGGACGCGATGAATTTCGTTTATTGCTAACTTACAAGTTTGAAGGCCACGGGAATGTACACAAATGACTGGGACCCGAACAATGGACACATCCTTATTTCAGATGACCGAGGAGACACTTGGACGGCGGTCGAACTGCCCTTCAAAGTAAGAATTTTTGCACCAAACCATGCCTTCAGCTAATTACTTCAAAGGTGGGCGGAAACATGCCTGGACGAGGGATGGGAGAGGTAAATCCAAGTACCATACAGCGAATACGTCCATCTGATGACTGATGTTCCAGCGTCTCGCCGTCGACCCTCATGATAACTCAATCCTGTACTTTGGTGCACGTTCTGGAAATGGTCTCTGGAAATCCACTGATCAGGGCGCGACCTGGTCAAAAGTGGCCAGTTTCAAGGATGGAGGTAGATTGTATTTTTCAGTGAAATAGCTTGAGCTTAACAAATCTTCCTTCTATAGGCAGTTACATACCTGATCCAACTGACACTACCGGTTATAACAGCGACAAAATTGGTATATCGTTCGTGACCTTCGATTCGAATTCTGGCTCTAGCGGTTCTGCTACTCCAAGAATTTTCGTTGGAGTAGCAAATCTAGGATCTACGAATATCTACGTTTCTGAAGATGCTGGTAGCACTTGTCAGTACTTCATGAACCTTACACTACTCATTCTTTTTGACGTCTCACTACTCACTAAACATCCGTAGGGAGCGCCGTTCCGGGTCAAAACAGCACTTTCATGCCACACAAGGGTGTTCTTTCTCCTGCCGAAAATACTCTCTACGTCTCTTATTCTAATGGAGCTGGGCCGTACGACGGAACGCTCGGTGAGCTGATACGGGTCATGTAGATTTTTCAAGCCCCCTTACACCAAGCAAAACGGTTGATAGGTTCTGTATACAAGTACAACATATCGTCGAGTGTCTGGACCGACATCACTCCTGTCTCTGGTAAATTTGTTTTGTCTAACTCGCGTTCGACATTACCCTGACGAACGCCCTACAGGTAGTGATCTGTACTTCGGTTTTGGCGGTCTCAGTGTCGATCTCCAAAATCCAGGCACCGTCATGGTCGCTGCGCTCAACTCCTGGTGGCCGGATGGGCAAATCTACCGCAGCACCGACAGTGGCGCAACGTGGTCGCCTCTGTGGGCTTGGAGTGCCTCTGGTTATCCTAACATCGACAGATTCTACTCGTACGATGACTCGCTGGCACCATGGATTGGTCCTGACTATGTCGAAACGACTCTTGGAACTCTCCAAATTGGCTGGATGATGGAATCGCTGTCAATTGATCCATTTGATAGCAATCATTGGCTGTATGGCACCGGAGGAACCATTTATGGAGGATACGATCTGCTGAAATGGGATACGACGCACAACGTCACTCTCAAATCTCTCGCAGACGGTATGGAAGAGACGGCTATCCAGGCACTGCTCTCCCCTCCAACAGGTCCTAATCTCCTGAGCGCGATGCTCGATCTTGAAGGTAAACATTGTCGTTTCGTTTAATGAACACTCTTGTTGACGCCAGTCCAAATTGTGGTCAGGTTTCGTACACAAGAGTTTCACTGAGCCTCCAGTGAGCTCTTATACCAATCCATCATGGTCTGGCGCAGTAGACCTGGATTATGCCGGCAATGTACCAACGAATATCGTGCGCATTGGGAACGATGACAGCTCGACAGGCAAACAGGTAGCGATTTCCACGGACTCCGGGACAACATGGTTAGTTTTCATTATCGTAATTGCTAATATACTTGTTAAATGCAACTCGACAGGTCTCAAGACTATGGTGCCGCCGATAACGTCACCAGTGGAAAGGTAATGGGAGCTGTTTCCTTTATTGGGCAGAAAAACTGACTACAATAGGTTGCATTTTCGGCCAACGGTGATACTGTTCTCTGGAGAACGAGTGCCAACGGAGTTCAGGTCTCTCAATACACGAACCCGTTTGCTTCTGTCCCGACTTTACCGGATGACGCACAAATAGCTTCGGACAAAGTCAACAATTCCGTATTTTACGGTGCTTCTGGATCCAAGTTCTACATTTCGAAGGATGGAGGAAAGACGTTTTCGTCCATCTCCGCCTTAGGTTCTTCCACTACTCCCGCGAGAGTGATTGTCCATCCAAGCGTCACTGGAGACGTATGGGTCTCCACGAATAAGGGTATCTTCCATTCGGTGGATTTCGGTTCGACATGGACACAGCTTGCTGGAGTCACTCAAGCATGGTCAATTTCCTTAGGAGCACCAGCTAAGACTGGTGGATACCCTGCCCTCTTTGCCATCGCGGCTTTCGGTTCTCAGTCTGGTTATTTCCGCTCAGATGACCAAGGTGAGAGATTTTGTTGAGGCTGGTTAGCAATGAAAGCACTGACTAGGTCAGGCGTCAACTGGGTTCAGATCAACGACGCTTCGCATGGCTTTGGCTCGTTTAGTGCTAATGTTATCAGCGGTGATCCCCGCGTTTATGGGCGGTGAGTTAAACGGCAAAGCCCTACTTATTTCATCTTGATAACTTGACTTCAGTGTCTATGTCGGGACAAATGGCCGTGGCATCTTCTACGGTGATGCGACAGGTCTGACCTTACTCTTTGTTGCATAACATTTACCAACATATTCCGTTCAGGTTCTGCACCTTCTCCGACAGTCACTGCAACGACGACCTCCGTCAAATCAACTTCCACAGTATCGACAACAGTAAGCAGATCAACCACCAGTATCATCTCGACTAGCCCGTCTGTCACCACCACCACTGTGGTATCAACTTCAACACATGCATCAACGACTAGCTCTGCACCGGCAGCAACGCAAAGTGTATACGGACAATGCGGTGGTATGTACACGCTTCATTCGCATATATGGAAATTAAATCCGTGCATTAGGAAATGGATGGACTGGACCGACAGTTTGTGCAAGCGGATCTACTTGCACCTACAGCAATGATTGTGAGCAATTCCGCCCTGTGAAGTTCTCGAACGTATCTCATCATTTACTTGAATAGATTACTCGCAATGCGTCCCGAAGTGAGGAATCTGAATGTTGTCACTTTGGTCTTCCTATGTAGCTGCAACATTATTACTGGGATGGTCCCGAGGATTGCGTGGTGCTGCTGAGCTGGCTAAGTCTTACTCGACCTTTCAAGTTTATTCGAAAACATGCTTTGCCTAAGTCTTTGATCGGTTCATAACACCGCAAGCTGGTGCAGGTTCGCATCTGAAAGTAAGGAGTCTTGGAACACGAAAGCCTGGTCAAACGGTACACATGATGATTACCCAAGTTGTTGCCCGCATGCATTCCCCTTTCTATCCAGTCAATTTTATCTCACCAAATCAATTCATAACAGTCGACCGCATTTACCTCCATGCTTCTCACAGTAAGGAAGTCCGAGGTGCATTGAATGCCACGAATGACAAGGGGTCTAGGGATCATGCCACGTTTGTCATCTTCCCAGATGTTGGCACCCGCCTGTTCCGTTCTAGTCCCGTGGTTTCACCCTGCTTCCATTCTCTATTTAAATAAGTGCAATAACAGCAACTGGGTCCAGACAAATTCATGAAGCGATGCGTAGGCAATGATCACTCAGACTCTCGGCATTGCTCATAATGCTCATCTCTAGTCATTCGCATTGCAAATAAGTATCTTATAACGAGGGCCATATCGGAACAAACACAAGGGATAATGCTGATATACCCTCTCTCTGCTCTGTCTGTGCTTGCCATACCGTCAATACAATTGCAATAGTCGGTGGCTCACGATCACCTCGCTTCCATCGTTTCGTTCTGGTCTCCGATTCACCGTTGGACTTGAAGGCCGGCTTGAGCGGTTCCGACAGATTGTACTGGCTGGCTAAATGATACACACTGACCGGAACTAGAGTCCTCGATGGCTAAACCTGTTCTCGATCGCTTTGCAACATGCCCGCCCCGTACATTCCGCATTACCGAATGAACTATGGTGTTGGCCACATGTCTACAAGTGTATGTTCGTACTCTATCTGGTTCACCTCCAACTTACATATTCCCAGTGACTTATATTGGAGTATTAATTTTGATGCAACGAGCACTGGTATACCCAGCCGGAAATTTGTATTTCTCGGGTCCGGAGATGCATACAAGTAGTGGTGTTTTGAAAAATTCTCGGCCTAGTCTCCGCAGTCATGAAGTATCCTACTTATTCTCCGCATGCTTTCCCCTTCTCTAGAAACCTTTGTGAGTGTGTACCTTCACTGTACCTGTAGCCCGGACGTACATCTCGACACCCACTTACTGACCTGCATTATCCTAGACATAGCATATAGTCAACATTAGGCCACTATGCACCTACGAAACCATCTGCTTCTCTTGCTCTTTGCCAAAGCTGCACATGGGCACCACGCATTCAAGCCTGAACAGACTCCGACAGATGCATTTGCTGCAAGGGTAGTGAAATCGGAAACTCGTTGCGCATCTAGCAAGGGCTTGCGAACGAGTCCGTTGGCTCACGCTGCTAACTATAAGCTGGTCGAGTCGCATGTAGGTTTTCATTGACCATAGCCATGGTATTTCTTATAATCTCTATATAGTCCGGCAGTAATTTCTTTGATAACTTTACGTTCTGGGATAAGAGCGATCCCACCCATGGTATGTTTGCTGTACAGACTCAAAATCAATGTAAGCAGGCTGCTTACTTTTACTCACTCGCAATAATAGGCGCCGTCAACTACCGCAGTCGATCAGATGCTGTTAATATTAACTTATGCTCCAGTGACACTGATTATCATTGACCTTACTACGTGCAGGAAGCAATGAACCTCACGGGCGTCAATAATGTCGGAAATGCATACATCAAAGTTGAGACAACTCCGGTAGTCTCTGGGAATCGATCGAGTGTCCGTATCGGTACAGACAATACCTTTACTAGTCCGTTAGCTATGTCGAATTCAGCTTGTCTGTTTATAACTAACGCAATATTTAAGAGGGAATATTCGTCATTGATGCTCTCCATATGCCGCACGGATGTGGCACTTGGCCGTGAGTGCGGGTCATATGTCAATGCTGAACAATATTTTGATTTCTTGCAGGGCTTTTTGGTCGACTGGTTAGTCTGACACTTGATAATGGGAGTACTCCGAGTGCATAAATCGTGACGACGTTCCGACAGGTCCTGATTGGCCCACGTATGGTGAAATAGACATCATAGAGGTAAGTGGCTGGGGGTCATGAAGATATGCGTCTCCACTGTGCTAAATATCAGCGTTGACCTAGGGTGTGAAGTGAGTCGCTGAGTTTCGAGCATTCTGTTTCGTAGATTAATTCCTTGTACAGCGAGTATACGCGAAATAAGGCTTCAATCCACACAGCACCTGGATGCTCTCTGCCATCAAATTCATCCCAGGTTCTTGGAATGGAAGCAACTCTGGTCGGGTCAACCGACTGCGATGCAAGGAAAACAAGGGACCAGGGATGCGGAATGAGGTCCAACTCAAATATCACCTTTGGCTTAGGTTTGCTTCTCCTAAACTCCACACGGAACGATTAAATAATTATCTGCTAAGGATTTAATTCTGTCGGGGGTGGTGTATATGCCCGTACGCTGACTTGCTTTTCTCAGCACAGCAGAAACTTATAATAATACTATACAGTGGTTTGGAGTGACAAGGAAATTGTCGTGCATTTCTTCCCTCGCGATTCTATCCCACAGGACTTATTGAGCGATTCCCCGACGCCTGATACTTGGGGAACACCAATGGCCCGCTTGCCATCGACGGATTGTGATATAAACAAGTTCTTCCAGAATCACACAATTATTATCAACACTGCTCTGTGGTACGTATATCATAATGATCCGCGGGCTCCATGTATCTAGAGAATGGGCGCTCATTCGTCTTTATTTAATTAGCGGTGGTTGGGTTGGGGGCTTCTGGAATCGAACAGGTGTGGCAGGGCAAGGCGCTAGTTGCGCTGCGAGTACAGGTTATGCAACTTGCGAAGACTTTACACGGAACAACGGAGCTGCATTTCGTGATGCCTATTGGGAAATAGCAAGCATGAAGATATATAAGCATGTTCGAAACCGTAGCTATTCAGTATTCGGAAGTCCTGTACCCCATTTCCAGGCCTGACATCTTGTTATGAGCGGCAAACCGTAGATATTAGTATAGCTCTATGCCGAAATTCTATCGTATGAGTTGTTTTTGGGGGCGGAAACAAAGGCGGGAACGGTGAAGGTGATTAAGTGAGAGGGTTGTGTTGTGTAGTATTCAGCACCAAATAATCCGTCAAGAAGTTTGCTAGTTGTATGTGTAGGTGCGGTTACTGGAATCTCACGTCTCTTGGATAGTGCAGTAAAGAAAAACTCACTTTCGTTCTGGGTTTACCTCTCAAAAATAACGCTATTTCCGTATTCCGTGGAGTTTATGATTTATTTGAGCAATTATCTAGTTGACGGAGTCTTGAGCAATAAAATCTGCGGCGTCTAGCCGAATTCGTGCAGATCATCGGCTACGTTGCCTGGTTTGGAAGCTGAGCTGGACAGAGTCATTCAAGAATTTTGGGCGTGCTACTTTATATATGCTGCGAGCCGTCCTCTTGCGGCGCCTCTCTCATCGATTACTTCCCCTCACTACTCCTAGTATACGTTCTCCCTCTAGAGGCTTGTTGACAATGTCTTCCGCTACCGAAGAGACTCTTTCTCAAGAAATTTCTGAGCAGTCCACAAGCTCAAGACTGACAGCTCAGCCGTGGCTGCTCCGGAGGAGGCCAAGAAGAAACTTGCGGAGCTGAAGAAGAACTTGAATATTATGAAGAATGCGGCTAGTGGTGGAAAGGATGCTGGTAGAAAGAAGGAACGATTACTGCTTAAAACCGCACAGGTGCGCGCCTCAACAACCCCCGTGTGCAATAATATTCTAGTCTTACATAGATAGGGAGCCAGAGACCATGGCCCAAGTGAAATTTTTTGTCGAGAGCATGTCGAACGTATCGTGAAAGACTGCTTCATAACATACGGAGGAGGCCAACTCGATACTCCAGTCTTCGAGCGAAAAGACATCTTAACGAACAAATACGGCGAGGACGCCAAACTCATCTTCGATTTAACGGACCAGGAAGGAGAACAGTTGTCATTACGATACGATGACATTGGCCATGGTTATAGCCAAATGACTTGAAAGGTGGGCGGAAACATACCTGGACGAGGAATGGGAGAGGTTACAAATACAACATATCGTCGAGCGTCTGGACCGACATCACTCCTGTCTCTGGTAAGTTCGTTTTGTTAACTCGTGTCCGACATTACACTGACAAACGCCCTACAGGTAGTGATCTGTACGTCGGTTTTGGTGGTCTCAGTGTCGACCTCCAAAAGCCTGGTACCGTCATGGTCGCTGCGCTCAACTCCTGGTGACTTGATCGGCAAATCTACCGCAGCACCGACAGTGGCGCAACGTGGTCGCCTCCTTGGGCTTGGAGTGCCTCCGGTTATCCCAACATCGACAAATTCTACTCGTACGATGACTCGCTGGCACCATGGATTGGCCCCGACTATGTCGAAACGACCCTTGGGACGCTTCAGATCGGTTGGTTGATGGAATCTCTGTCAATTGATACATTTGATAGCAATCACTGGTTGTATGGCGCTGGAGAAACTATTTACGGAGGACACGATCTGCTGAAATGGGTCATGACACACACAACGTTACTCTCAAATCTCTTGCCAACGGTATGGAAGAGACGGCCGTCCAAGGGCTGCTCTCTCCCCCAACTGGTCCTAATCACCTAAGCGCAATACTCGGTGTCGAAGGTAAATACCAGCTTCGCGAATGATTAACGTTCCTGCTGATGCTTGTCAATACCTCGATCAGGTTTCGTCCACATGAGTTTGACTGAGCCTCCAGTGAGCTTTTATACCAACCCGGTCCCCATGTGGTCTAGTGGCGTGGACTTGGATTATGCTGGTAATGTACCGGCGAGTATTGTGCGCATTGGGAACGGCGACAGCTCGACAGGCGAGCAAGTAGCGATTTCCACGGACTTCGGGGCAACACGGTCAGTTTTCATCGTCGTAAATGCTAAAGGTACCGCTAAATGCGACTCGACAGGTCTCAAGACTATGGTGCCGCCGATAACATCACCAGTGGAAAGGTAAGAGAACCTATTTCGTCTATTGGGAGAAAAAACTGACTACAATAGGTTGCATTTTCGGCCAACGGTGATACTGTTCTCTGGAGAACGAGCGCCAACGGAGTTCAGGTCTCTCAATACACGAACCCGTTTGCTTCTGTCCCGACTTTACCGGATGACGCACAAATAGCTTCGGACAAAGTCAACAATTCCGTATTTTACGGTGCTTCTGGATCCAAGTTCTACATTTCGAAGGATGGAGGAAAGACGTTTTCGTCCATCTCCGCCTTAGGTTCTTCCACTACTCCCGCGAGAGTGATTGTCCATCCAAGCGTCACTGGAGACGTATGGGTCTCCACGGATAAGGGTATCGGTGGATTTCGGTTCGACATGGACGCAGCTTTCTGGAGTCACTCAAGCATGGTCAATTTCCTTAGGAGCACCAGCTAAGACTGGTGGATACCCTGCCCTCTTTGCCATCGCGGCTTTCGGTTCTCAGTCTGGTTATTTCCGCTCAGATGACCAAGGTGAGAGATTTTGTTGAGGCTGGTTAGCAATGAAAGCACTGACTAGGTCAGGCGTCAACTGGGTTCAGATCAACGACGCTTCGCATGGCTTTGGCTCGTTTAGTGCTAATGTTATCAGCGGTGATCCTCGAATTTTCGGACGGTGAGTTAATCAACGAAAAGACCTGCTTGTTTCTTTCTTATATCTCGTCCAGTGTCTATGTCGGGACAAACGGTCGTGGAATCTGCACCTTCTCCAACAGTCACTGCACCGACGAACTCCGTCAAATCAACTTCCACAGCATCGACAACAGTAAGCAGATCAACAACTAGCATCATTACGACTAGCCCGTCTGTCACACCACTGTGGTATCAACTTCAACACATGCATCAACGACTAGCTCCGCACCAGTTGCAATACAAAGTGTATACGGACAATGTGGTGGTATGTACACGCTTCATTCGCATATATGGAAATTAAATCCGTGCATTAGGAAATGGATGGACTGGACCGACAGTTTGTGCAAGCGGATCTACTTGCACCTACAGCAATGGTTGTGAGCAATTCCGCCCTGTGAAGTTCTCGAACGTATCTTATAATTTACTTGAATAGATTACTCGCAATGCGTCCCGAAGTGAGGAATCTGAATGTTGTCACTTTGGTCGTCCTAGCTGCAATATTATTACTGCGATGGTTCCGAGGATTGCGTGGTGCTGCTGATCTCGCTAAGTCTTGCTCGACCTTTCAAGTTTATTCGAAGATATGCTTTGCCTAAGTCCTTGATCAATTCATAACACCGCACGCTGGTGCAGGTTCGCATCTGAAAGTAAGGAATCTAGGACACGCAAGCCTAGGCAAATATTACGCACGATGAATACTCAAGCTGTTGTTCGCATGCATACCCCTTTCCATCCATTCGATTTTGTCTCACTGAATGAACTTATGGCAGTTGACCGCATATGAGATCATGCTCCTCGTGGAAAAGGAGTCTAAGGTGCATTGGATGCCATGAGTGACAACGGGTCTGAGGATCTTGCCACGCTTATCGTCTTTCCCAAATGTTGACACGCAACTGGTCTGTTCTAGTCCGTGGTTTCATCCTGCTTCAATCCTCCATCTTAAAGTAAGCTCGATGGCAGCAAGTGGGCCTAGACAAATTTATGAAGCAACGCGTAGGTCATGACCACTCAAACCATCGGCTTTGCTCATAACTCTTATCTCTAGTCATCCGTATTGCAAATAAGTATATCTGATGGTATGGGCCACATTGGGAACGTAACAGATAATGTCGATACACCACTCTCTGCTTTGTTTGTGCTTGCCATACCGTCAATATGGTCGTAATAGTAGACGGCTCACGATCACATCGTATCCATCATTTCGTTCTGGTATCCGATTCGCCGTTGGACTTGAAGGCCGGCTTGAACGGTTCCGATAGATTGTGCTGGCTAGCTAAACGATATACGCTGGTCGGAACTGGAGTCCCCAGCCGGCTAAAGCCGTTCGCGACATGTGGTCAACACCATGGTTCACTTTAATGCGGAATGTACGGGGCAAACACGTTACATATGTTCACACCCTATCGTTTTGTCTCTGACTTACATATTCTCAGTGACTTAGAGTCAAACGGCAATCACTGCCCTCCAGATTATTATGCCCGAGGCTGCGTATTCCATGGTGCCAGGCGCGTCGTATTGGAGTATAAAATTTTTGTGCGACGACGACGGATATTCCCAACCTGAAATTTGTATTTCTCGGGTTCGGAGGTGCATACAAGTAATTAAGTTTTCATAAATTCTCGGCCTGTCTCCGCAGTCATGAAGTATCCTACTTATTCTCTGCATGCTTTCTCTGCTCTGGCAGTCCTCGTGAGCGTGTACCTCGACTATACCCGTAACCCGGACGCACATTTCGACACCCGTTTACTGATCTGCATTACCTTGGACCCAGCATATAGTCAACATTGTTATTATGCATCTGCAAAACCGTCTACTCATTTTGCTGTTTGCCAAAGCGGTACATGAAGCCCACGGATTTAAGTCCGAACAGACTCCGACAGATGCAATGGCCACGAGGGTCGTGAAATCGGATACTCGTTGCGCATCCCACAAGGGGTTGCGAACGAGTCCGTTGGTCGCTAACTATAAGTTGGTCGAGTCGCATGTAATTTTTCATTGACCACAGCCGGGGGAGTTCTAATAATCCCTGTACAGTCTGGCAGGAACTTCTTTGATAACTTTACGTTCTGGAATACGAGCGATCCTACCCGAGGTATGTTCGCTACTCAAACTCAAAATTAGTATAAGCAACCTCCTCCATTTTGCTCACTCTCAATAATAGGCGCCGTCAACTACCGCAGTCGATCAGACGCTGTAAATATTAACTTATGCTCCAGTGGCACTGATTATCATTGACCTTACTACATACAGGAAGCAATGAACCTCACGGGCGTCAATAATGTCGAAAATGCATACATCAAAGTTGAGACAACTCCGGTAGTCTCCGGGGATCGATCAAGTATCCGTATTGGCACGGAAAATACCTTTACTGGTTCGTCAGCTCTGTCGAATATAGCTTGTCTGTTAATACTTAACTCGACATTAAGAGGGAATATTCGTCATTGACGCTCTCCATATGCCTCACGGATGTGGCACCTGGCCGTGAGTACAGGTCAACGAGTCAATACTGAACGATATTTTGATTTCTCGCAGAGCTTTCTGGTCGACTGGTCAGTCTGACACCTGATAATGGGAGTACTCCGAGTGCATGAATCGTAACGACCTCCTGACAGGTCCTGATTGGCCCACATATGGTGAAATAGACATCATAGAGGTACGTGGCTGGGTGTCATGATGATGCGTCTCCCCACTAAATGTCAGCATTGACCTAGGGTGTGAAGTGTGTCACTAAGGTTCTAAGCATTCTATCTCTCAGACTAACCCCCTGAACAGCGAGTATACGCAAAATCAGGCTTCAATCCACACGGCGTCTGGATGCTCTCTGCCATCGATTTCATCCAAGGTTCTTGGAATGGAAGCGACTCTGGTCGGACCAACTGATTGCGATGCAAGGGAAACAAGGGACCAGGGATGCGGAATGAGGTCCAACTCAAATATCACCTTCGGCTCAGGTCTGTCTCTCCTAAGCATCACACGGGACAATTGAATAATTATCTCAAAAGGGTTTAATTCCGTCGGGGGCGGCGTATATGCCCGTACGCTGACTTGCGTTTCTCAGCACAGTAGAACCTGATTATAATACTATGCAGTGGTTTGGAGCGACAAGGAAATTGCCGTGCATTTCTTCCCTCGCGATTCTATCCCACAGGACTTATTGAGCGATTCCCCGACGCCTGATACTTGGGGAACACCAATGACCCGCTGGCCGTCGACGGATTGTGATATAAACAAGTTCTTCCAGAATCACACAATTATTATCAACACTACTCTCTGGTACGTATACCGTGAATTATCGGCTGGGCCCATGTATCGAATGGATGGACACTCAATTGTCTTTATTGCTTAGCGGAACTTGGGCTGGCCTTATTTGGAACCAAACAGGTATAGCAGGACAAGATGCTAGTTGCGCTGCAAGTACAGGATATGCAACTTGCGAAGACTTTACACAGAACAACGGAACTGCATTTGTTGATGCCTACTGGGAAATAGCAAGTATGAAGGTATATCAGACTGTTTTAAAACTGTAGTTATCCGATGCTCGAAACTCCAGTGCATTATTTCCGGGTCTGCCAATCTGTTACGGGTGGAAAACTGTAGATCTCAACATAGTTGTATGCTTGAATATTATCATATAGATGTTTTTGGGACGGAAAATAAAGGTATCAGCGGTGAAGGCAGCTTAGAGGGAAAGTTTTGTCGTGACGTATTCAGCACCAGGTAATCCGTAAGGAAGAAAGGGCCTAGAAAAGCACTTGATAGTCACGGTGGTATCAATAGGCGTGGTCAAACCTCGCGATTCAGTGTGCGATTCACCTGCGCGATTCACTTTCATGCAAAGTGAATCGCGGACCCCGGAACCCCAGCGATTCGGGGTGAATCGCACTGAAAGGTGAATCGCACTTTGACACGATTCGCCTTGCGATTCACCCCCGCGATTCACCTCTACTCATATCTATTTCCAAATATGTACATGTATTACAAAAGTAAAACTAAGCTTCTTTTCACCTCTAAATTCCAAAAACAATAAGATGATTTGCCTCTTCCTTGTGAGTACTACAGCATACATACTGTCCTCTGTTCTGCAAAAAATCCTTGTGTTCTCTGCTACCAAGCTCTGTCGTCTTCTTGCACATCACTGCACACATATCAAGTCCTTCTTGACATGGCCAAATGTATATGCACAAAAAAAACTACATCACCAAATCAAACACGAAAATGTATTGGAATTTACTGCTAAGACATATATTTTTTACATATTGTGG